ATTAAAAAATGCAAATTAAGACCCATATTAATACATAAAAAAGGTATATGTTTTGAAATTTATCATGATACATATTTATATTTAACTATATATTTTGGTTTRTAAAAATATTAAAAACAGCTTAATTAAGCTAGAAATAATATACATCATGCAAAATGTATTGCTTATAATATTACAATATATATGTATAGTAAAATAATACTAATTAAATCAATAGTTAATAAGAAAAAATAAAATCACGCTATTTATATTTGTATTTTTGGCTAAGATATTATTTAAGGACTATAATTACATTTATGCATGTAATAGTGTCTTTTGATTTTTTTTWAAATCAGATGTAGATTTCAATAGACTAGATACCGTTGTTTTTTTTCTGTTAGGTGCATAATTTACCTGTTAGTGCTTGTGAATTTGTATTATTATATTTTTAATTTCAAAATAAGTCCCATCTAAAATCAAARGATAAGGTGTATCATTGAGTCGTTAATCATAACGAGTTTTTTAAGTACTATAAGTTTAATAAAATATATTTAATAACAATGGTCGATGATTGTCTACTGAAATAACACAATTTACGTCTATACTATATATATMATACTATTCAACCTTAATAAAATTAAGACTTAAATAGTACTTAAATACAAACAAGCTACCACATATTTTTCAGAAAAATTAATTTTAGTTAATTGCAATAGTATTCCAATTTTTCATCTTACCATATTTTGAGTTTTGATGACTATGCAATATGTTTATGCTTACTATAATATACTTGGTACTAAAAATTATAAATATGACATCTAAATAAAATAATCAATACTATATTAACATAATATTGTCCTATCTTATTGTTGTGTAAGGTCGCCTATTAATTGTATTTATTAGGTTGTATCAATGTACCACAATTTGTATGTGAGAAAAATACAATTTAACCTGATCTAAGATGATAATATATAATTACTAAAAAAGTATCTTGGATCTATTATTTACAAGTTACTCCAAATAAAATATCTACAAGTAACTTTGAAATAATGTAGTAAAATCAAAGTTACAAATGTTACTCAGTTGATAATATCCTCCACGAATGAATTTGGATTAMATTTAATAGATTACTTTTGAAACTGACGTTCAAATAAATCTTGCTTTATTCGCAAACGAATGAAATAATAGTCAACATTTTTGTAACTGAAATAATGTTCAAGTAATATMATTATAGAATTAATATTTATTATCTTTATTTTAAGAAGTAAGTAAGGCAGTAATAGTAAAAAATCATATTGTATTGTTTTAAGTTTATGGAAAAAAATAAATTAAGCACAAGGGATTAATGAATCCAAAGTTTATGTTGTATATATAAGCATATTATAATATAATCATAATATGTTATACGAAAGGAAAAAAAATATCTTTCAAGTTTATTTTTACATTATAAATTTACCTAGTATAATTCAATTAAATTACACACCTAGTTATTGTTAATTAATATAATATATTATATTCACAGTGGTATCTCTATATAGGAGTGTGTTTCATTTGAGTTTGTGAAAATATGTAAAAACCTATATTAAATTTTTTTTTCAATCATCCTGTTATAATTTAAAAGCAAGTTTTTTACTAAAAATAAAAATAAAAATGTAATTTACATCATAATGTATAATTTTAATTACCATAGTTTATATTTTGTATATTAAGAATAATACACATTCACTGTTTTTCTTTTTGATTCACTAGTAACATAATATAGGTATGAATAGCGCTTAGCAGAACCTATCTTTTATCGTTAGCTTTATTATTAGAGTGAATTAATCTATTGCCAAACTTAAAGTTTAAAACATTATCTGTATTTGGACGTTGGCTATCTTAATATTTTACGATATTATGCTATTTGTTCTAAATTAAGAGTAGATATGTACAATGCTAAAATTTAATAATGCTGGTACCTATAGAAAATTCAGAAAAATTGAAATATCTTAAAAAAAGTCAAAGTACAAACACTATTAATAATTTTGAGTTTGATAAGAGATTCATTATTTATAATTTCGCGTTACTAAGAAATAGAAAATAATTAATAGCATATTGGTTTTTATTTTTTTTCTAAATTTATGTTCATGATTTTTCACCGATTAATTATATTATATAAACATTTTATCTGCAATTTAATTTTTGAATTAAACCAATTTAAATAGATATAAAAAAAAACCAATTAAGTTTTCGAATCTCGTTAAAGTATATTATTGAGATAGTATGGTTAATACAAGGTTCCTGAAAAGTTATTATAGC